GTGGATGACATCATCGGTAGACAGACGGACAGCATTGTCACCATTGCAAAATGACGTGATTAAAGACTCCTCTGATCTCTATGGTGTTTATCAACCACTTTACTGACATTTCTATTAAAATCTCGCAGACTACTCCAACACTAAATACAGACAATGATTTACACAACTCTAAACTGTTTTCACTGGAAATATGTTTCAGTCCAGTTGTAATCAGGAAGCATTTGGCAGTTAATTTCAGTTTGTCATTCTAACTGACACAGAAGCACACATAAATACAGACAAGCAGAGAGACACAGACATGTAAACAGGTAGACAGCAGGCAATTAGATACACACACACACACACAGAAAGCTGTTTACAAGTTAGTACTCATAGAGCGAGTTGACAGTTCAGACTGGACAGAACAACAGTAAATACAGCAGCAGACATAAATTTAATCCATTCAACTGGTGTTATAGATCCTCCTTTTACTTTCCTTTGGTTGTTAACTACTCCTGCATACTTTGTGCTACATAAACCATTCAACTATCAAAACATTCAGCTTCTTCATGAGATGTATCCTTTCTTTCCACTTTTTGATAATATTCATAATTTTTGAAATAATAAACTTTTTCTGCAATATTTTTACATTGTTAGTGAATGGAGATGATGTTCAAATCCTTCAAAACTTCAACATCTTGAAATTCAACTACAGATTTTGACAAACTTTAAGCACTTCCAGCTATCAATGAGTGATTTATTAGCTCACTGATATTTGATTACGGATTTTTCTCAAAAAGCAGTTGTTTGAGAGGCTTGCCGAGCCCAAATCACACCTAGATCTGGGTTAGCTCTGTATCTTCCAGCTAGACACAGGTGTTCGAACCAGCTCATCAAGAGACTCTTTGATCTCTGTGATGTTTACAAACACACACATACACACACACACAGGGAGAAAGCTGTTAACAAGTTACTGCTCATAGAGAGAGATTACAGTTCAGACTGGACAGTACAACAGTAAATACAGCAGCAGACACACTGAATTTACTTTGAGCTTTGAGCTACAGGAACGGTTCAACCATCATAGTTGCTCTCCCATAGACTGCAATACAAATTCAGAAGCTGATAGCAAACAGCAGGTCTCAGGTCTTAGCAGGTGCTACTAACGCAATAACTGGGCAGAAATGGAAAAAAGCTAATTCTTATTGGCTAATTGGACTCAATTAGATCCCCCCACCCCACCCCCCCCAACACACACACACATACCACCACCATCACCGCCCCCACCACCCCATTTTTATCACTTAAGGTAGGCTAAATAACAGAAACACCTCTGTATAATGTAATATACACTTCATCCTCCACAGTGATCAGTTGAATCAAAAACTGTGGCAAAGCTGATTGTGATTGGCTAATTAAACTCATTGATTCTTAGCCTCTTAAATTAGGTATGAGAGCAATTCTAATATATATCTATTTCATTATCTATATATATCTAAGATATTAACTGTATAAGTGTCCCAACCTGGTAACACAAGCATTTTGGAGCCTCTATGGTAGACAACTCTACTGCCATACACAACAATACACACACGCATATTGACAGACACACAAACACAATCTTACTTTTTGATATTCACCTTCAAAATAAGAATCTCAACCAGGTAAAAAGAACTTACTGGAGGTTCTGTTGGGCAGCTATGCAACAAAACACAGACACACACACACACACACACACACACACACACACACACACACACACACACACACACACACACACACACACACGCCACACAGACACACACATATATATATATATATAATGACAGAAACACACAAACACCATCTCCACGATTTGGATTAACCATCAAAATAAACATGGTAAGAGGGAATATTTGGCTCTGTTGTACAAAACCGTAAGAAGCAAGGTAGGTGATAAAAGTTTGATCTTAGAAGCTATCGTCTATATGGGGATATAGTGGTTTAGCTTTATTGCAGAACAATTTCTGTAAGGGCATGTACCTGTATGTACACATGTCTTGCTATGGCCGTAGGGGCAAATTTGGGTTTGAAACCATCAGTGTGAAGTTATTTTGGCCAGACATGACAGCTTCAAAAGGCTTAGTGAGGGACACCTGCAGTGACTGAGATCAGTGTCAGGATAAGTCTCTACGACATGAGTTAAACTGAAAGTAACGTCCTTTGTACAGATTGAAATGTGAGGAGTGAAGTACACGCACCAAGCAGCAGGCACATTCAAAATTTCTCCAGGAATTTTCTAATTTGATTTATTATCACAGATGTGCACATTTAATCTAAATCAAATTATTACTGTTCAAACTGACAGTGTATGGACAGCTGTCCCCAGTACATATCTGTATATTTAGGCTATGGAAAGATTTCCGATTGGCACAGTCTGACTCCACAGGTCCAGATGGGCCTGGCTACGCACATGGGTACTGACCATTACACCTATAACAGTGGGGATGCCTAAATGAGAGGATTAAGTCAATACAAAGGCTTTACATTTAACTGTCACATACCTGAAATCCTATAAAATTCCTCCTTGATCCTTTGTGTTTCAAGATGACCAGGGAAGGTGATAAAAAAAATATTCAGATACTGCTGTAGAGCAAGGTATACCCTTCTTATTTTGACCTGAACTGTGCTGACATTTGTTGTCACAACAAACTGCTTGACCACTGCTTGAACTGAAGGATGGACACAAAACTTAACTCAAATTTTTCATTTCTGGAACTGTTTAATGAACTAATTAATTATCCTCTTCAGTAAGTGGGAATTGATTTACATTATTATTATTATTATTATTATTATTATTATTATTTGTACCTTGGTTCATGTTGAAGGAGTTGGAAAGGAGGCAGCTGATAAACTGTCAAAAAGGCCTTTAAAACAAAGAGACAATAATTTCTTAGAAATAGTTTTTCATAGAACTGAGACAATCTGTTATATGCTTCTGTGACGAAGTCTTGGCAGGAAATGTGGGATAGAAATAATGAAAATGGGGATTTAATGTTAGAATGAGAAATTATAGAGGTAGGTGTTGAAATTAGGTTAGGACATACAGGACTTTATATCAAGAAATTGGTAAATGGGAGGCTTGTAACTGCAAACCAAATACTGAGCACGTGTAAAGCGTAATGTTGAAAGAGAAAGATTTGAAGCAATGACTAATAGAAATTTGGGGATAGACAGCCGGCGGTAGGGACGGCTTTATTTCAGTATCTTCAGGAAACAGGTTTATTACTGGACTCATGGTGTTGTAGGCTTCACTCCGACACAGTAGGCGGCGGCATGCACCTTCTGTGCACTCTGCACATGCTGGTTTGTTCACCCTCATGACAGGAAGAAGAGTGGTCACAACGTGTGTCAAATTGGAAAGTCAATGAATTAATTGGAGTCGCGAACAATGTTTTCTGTAAATGTCTTTCGTAGATTTCGACCCTGTGTTGTCTCTCAGTCGTTCAGGTACATTCACATTACGGCCGCGCGACAGGGTGCGCCGCTGCCCGCGTCTTGTTTCAAAACAGTTGGTGGAAAACAGCTATATGCTGTCGGAAGGTCGTTCCTCAACATGAACAACAAGGTATCAACTTCGAACTAATACAGTATTTTCATGACAGATAGACTGTGTAGATGGGCAAGCTATTACTTTACTGGACATTTTTACATGACTAATGTAAACACAACTATCTTAGGTTAGCTCCATTAGCATTAGCCGCTAAGATCACTGTCTGAAATCTACTGGTCGCGTCTGCACGAGTATCTCAGATGTGTCATACGGGGTACATCAGAGTAACCAGAAATCCTGGACATGTATCCAGTAATTATGCAGGTGTTGTTTGGGACATTAAATTGTCTTACAGCTATTATTGATCATTATTGTCACATACTTAATATAAACAGACATGCAAGAATGTTTCTGATTTAGTCGGAATTGCTATATCATAACGTTGTCATCAATACATCTGTTATCACAGACCAGAATAGATTTTTATTTTCATTGTTAAAGAAAACAACCAAAGTCCGTTAAGCAGCTCCTCCATCAATGTGCAGCATTGGAGAAATGCAGTAGAAGCATAAAACAGAATTAAGGCACATAAAAACAGTTCAAAGTGTCAGTGTGTTTGGTTTACTGCTCTCAGCAGTCAGTTCTTCAGTCATTCAGTCACAGCCTTTTAGAAGACGCTGTTTTTTGGTCTGTTTGTTTTGCACTTGATTGTCCTGTATCTTCTTCCAGTGGGGAGGGGGAATAGTCAGTGTCCAGGGCGGGATGAGTCTTTTAAAATACAGCTTTGTTGGGAGGCGGAGGCAGCACGAAATTTGACAGAGGCGGCCGCCTCCCAATTCTCTATGCAGGAAAAACCCTGGTATAAGTTAACCAGCTGTTGTTGAGGGGGGTGGGCCTGCTTTAACTTCCTAAGGAAGTAAAGTCTGCTGGGCCTTCCCCACCTGGTAAGAGATGTTTCTAGACCAGATGAGGTTGGCAGAGATGTAGACCCCCAGAAACTTGAAACACTCCATCCTCTCTACCATTGGATCACACAGCTAGATTATAATGCTTGGATCATGAACTATTAGCATTTGACATTTTGTATGAGAGCCAACTGTATTGCAGTTCTGTTGACCATGCAGGGAACACACAGCATGAAAAAACAAACAGACTTACTACAGGAAAGTCTGCATCTTTCTTTTGAACTTGGAACATTAACAGCATAAAGGAAGTTGATTTCACTGTCAGATGGGCAGACAAGCATTTGTTGGAAATGTGAAATACAATTATGTTTATTAGTGAGGGCATAGTTAAAGGTGCTCTGGACTTGAGGTTTTTGTAATTTTTGTCTGTCCGTTTACACATGACATGAGGGTGTCAAAATATTAATAACACAGCTAAATATAATGCAGTGTAGTATATAACACCGCCACCACTACAACCTCAGTGCCTGGTCCTAGCCCTGGACCTTGGTAAGTACCAATGTTCAGCCAAGATTATCTGGTAATGTGATCACTTTACAGATCCAGTCTTAAACCTTCAGAACTGCTTGTAGGCTCATCGGAGCTGCCCTGATAAATATCAAACATGTTATTAACATGATATTTAGGATTTAAAATTGGGATGTTTACGACTGTGATGTTTACGACTGTGATTATGTCAGTCCTGGAGCAGCTGATGTTGTTGCCAAGCAACGGTAAACAGTCTAGCCCTTGAGGCTAATGTGAGCTAGCATACTACTATTTAAAACTGACAGTTAAAATCTCCCTTCTGCTGAAGAACAGACATCTGTTGACCATGTCTCTCCAACCATTTTCTCATCCAGACTCATTTATGCTTCTGTTTTTTTCTCTCACTGCAAAGTTTTACTAACGTTACAACAAGTTGTTGCACCACAGTCACATTTTGTTTACATCTGCTTCCTCGTGAGATCATGTGGGATGACATTATGGTGGTTGTATGTTGCTCCCTGATTTCTCTTGGCATAATAGTCTTAATAATATCCTGTAGTGTGTGATTCATCTTTTTTTTTTTTTTCAAATCTTGTAGTGTGTCATGCATCATTTTTTTCAAATCTTGTAGTGTGTCATATTTGAGATTAGAGGGAAGATAATCTGTTAAATTTCTTCTTATGTGTGTGATCAGTTAGGATAACCCTAGGATTTTAAAGATCACAAAAGACTGTTGGTTAAGGCTTTCAACAGAGATGCCAAATGCAAACCAAGGCCAGCTTCATCATGTGTTTTTATACTATTTCTTTGAGTAGGTGCAGTCCCACTGTCCATCACCCTGTTTTCTCTCTGCACTCGCCCACTCCGAGGATGGGAACCTCATCTACACTGGCAGCCTGGGCAGTGCTGTTCGAGGTGAGTCACGTTTACCATGTTCAGATGTTAAAGTAAAAATTAATCCCGAGCCTGAAATGTTCACTTGTTGAAAAGGCTGCTTTTAAAGCCATTCATGCTATTGCAAACTCAGAATCTTAAAGTGATTGTACTTGCCTCTAAGTTCTAGAAATGTCATCATCAACCCTACTAATTTGTGGCCAGTTTTAAATAGTATGACTGTGTGGGAAAGCATCAAACATAATCTGCTGCTCCTTTGTTAGTCTACCTTGAGAATATAGTACCCTGTTAATAGCAACGTACTTTTAAATGGGGAAAAGTTACCAGATCTTCTGGATCAATTTCATTTTTATGTGTTTATTAAAAAAAAAAAAACATCAAAAAATGCAATGATTTTCTGTCAATGAAGAATTATATCTAGTTCATGTTGCAGCCTGGATCATTACAAAACAAAACCAAGCACTAACTGGGACATGGTAACTAAATACAGATACAGTGGTACAAAAATGACTTAAGTGAAAAGGGGGCAAGAGACCCTCAGGAAGCAATTCTTCACCCCAAAAAACAACCTTCAATGCATTATTCTGGTGATAGGATCAGAAAATGTGGGCTTAATCTTTGCGGTCCCAATTGTTTGTCATTTCCTGAGCGCTTATGTCAGGCAGCACCCTTGTAAAAAAAATCTCACTTTGTGATTGCTGGGTTATCCAAAGAGCTTCTGCATCGGCACACCAGTCAAAGTATGAAGAACAGAGAAGAGCCTTTCAACAGTTTATTCCATTCAGGCAGGCAGTTGACTGTTACAGGTGATTTTAAAATATAATCAGTAAACAGTGGTAATAAATCTAATCAAGGCACTTTATTATCAAACAAAGGAATGGCAATAATTATAACAAATGTCAATAATAACTCAATATGAGAAACATATTCTAAATACGTTGGATTACTTCAACATTGTCTTACATTTTATGCAACAGTATGAATGTGGCATTCACACGATACTGGAGATGATGTTGACAAATTCCATGATGCCTGCTTTAGGCAAGCTCTGGTTTTATCTCTTAATGTGATATGTTCAGACGGAGTCATTGTACTCTCAGCAGCAGGCAGATTTGTGATCTAGTAAAGCCCTCTGCTCTGCAAACCTGCATGCTGTGATCATCTCTCACAGTGAATGAAATAACATCAACATGATTTCTTTTGCACAGCAGCAGAGAGTATTTGGGCAGCGACCAGCAACAAGCTGCACTTACTGAAAAGGAGAGAACTGAGCCTTTATCACATAAGCCATAATGTCAAACTGGCTGTGCATAAAGCCAGAGTGTGTATCAAGTGGCCATCATATATTTGGTTTAATTATGGAGGACAGTCAAAGTGAATGAAAGAATTTTACACAGTACACACAATATGTTATGATACCATAGTGTTGCATTGATGCTATAAATGAAATTCAACACTGAACTGAGTCCATTCATAAACCAGAGGCACCTACAGTGGGATCACTATGACACGAATAGAAATCTATCTTTAGTGAATGTAAATTTATTACGTTATAATCGAATATAGTCACATAAATCTTCAGCTGATCCATCAACCAGGACTTTAACTGTACAGTGAGTGATGTAATGACCTAATGCTGACAGGTGCATACAATACTTGAATAAAATGGATATATGCCTGATGATAGCAGTGTATGGAGAACACTTAAATCAGTAACCTGCGTTCTCTGAATCTGTCCTTTTTGTCAGGGGTAAAGATGTTCTCGTACAGCACCAGCGGGGCCAGCCTCTTCCTCATGCCCCACATACTCCTGAAGACAGGACTAGGAGTGCAGAGCTTTGCTTTGCAAACTGCTTTTTGTGGAGTGATTGGCTTCTTCACCTTCCTCACCCCTGTCCTCCTTCATCTCATAACCAAGGGCTACGTGATCCGCCTGTATCATCACCCAGACAGAGACACCTACACTGCTGTCACCTACAGTGTGTTCCTCACGGAAAAAAAGAGCGTGTTCCACCAGAGCCAGGTCAAGATCCCAGCCATTAGCAAGATGTTCACCACCTTCTACGTCAACAACATGGGGCTGCTGGTAAACCCAGACCTGTTCACTTTACCTCATGACTACAATCACCTGATGGGCTACGATAAGCCCTTTAGCTTCAACACAGATGACATGGACAGTCCCAATAAGAGCTGAGAGACTGACTGGACTGAAACCGGTCAAATGTGGTGTTAGCATATTAATTACATCCACAAGTCCAAACTGCATAGTACAGACAGTCCCGGGGCGGAACAACCACGGAAGACTTGGCAACTGAAATCATTTCTCAACTACATTAGATTTTTTGGTTAATGTTTTAAAGGATGTGTCATGAAAATGAATTAAATAAATTATCATGTCATTATCATGACCTGTTACCTGTTTGAAACAGTTTCCTTCTGTTGGCCTCATTGTTGGTGTCATGACAGAGATGCAGTCACTCTCTGACTGTCATGACATGAACCAAATTCTATTGAAAAATACATTTTCATCCTCAGTTTTGTAACCTGATGTTATTTCATACCCCTGTCACCACTGGATGTCAAGTGTTTCAGTACTACTGCTGATTAAAATACCAGGGTTTTAGTACTGACACCAAAGCAATGTTTCATTAACTTACCATGTGGAAAACAAGTCTTTTCAAGCCAAACTTCACAAATGTTAAGAAAATGCAAGCAGCTGTAGAGTAACTTTTGCAGCAATACAATACTGTCTAAAATTTTAAATATTGATTTAAATCAAGCGGTATTTGATTAAAGAAGTAGTTTGGTGCCCGTTGTCCAGTACCTCCTATGGAGCTGAACCTGAACTATAGTACATAGAGTGTGTCCTGATAAAAGAATAGGTCAAGAAGTTTACAAATCTGAACAAGCATTCCATGTCAGCCTTGTGTTTGATTCTTGTATCAGTGCCAAAAATGGTCTGTCTAGCTTCATGTCTCAGCAAGTTACCATAGGATGTCAAAACTTTAGCAATAGGAAGGGTCTTGGAGTCAATATTGATTCAGTACATACAGTATATAGACTAAAACAATTAGGCTCAATTTGTAGTCTTCAGAACTTACATGTGAATCAACAGGTTTTAAGATTTTTTTCAGCAATTCAGTGATAGTTGGAGTCACTCGGATGATTGACTGACAGAGGGGCTAGGAATGGCGGAGTGGAACAGGTAGGTGAGCTGGAGTGAGACAGGCTTAGAGGGCTAATGCCGGAGCAGAGCAGGCAGTGAATTCAAACGGCGACGAGCAGATGAGGACTGAGCTGGGCAAGGCCAGAGCAAAGGTTAGCAGGATTAAGGCAAATACAAGGTAGAACAGGCAACAAACAGAGCTTGTGGCATCTGCGCCTCAAAGGTTACTGAACGAGCTGACAGAGTCTGGATGGATGGGCTGGGGTTTTGTACAGTAGAGGCTTGCTAAACTGATGAGTAGATTGGCTGCATGTACACAGGTAGAATGGCGGGAGATGGAAACCAGAGACCACACTTGCCACACAGACGGGGAAAAGCATCTCTCCCAATCTAATCAGTTCATCCTTGAGTCCAAGTGAATGTGCAAAATCTGAAGAAATTCCCTCCAGGCCGTCTTGAGATATCACATTCAAGAGGGCCAAAAATGTGTTTCGTGAGGTCACAGTGACCATTGATGTTTAACTTCCATAATCAGATCAGTTTATCCAAGTCCAAGGGAATGTTTATACCATATTTGAATGAATTCCCTGAGTGAATGAGATGTTCCTGAGGTTTCGTTTTCATAAAACCAAAAATGTGTTTTGTGAAGTCACAGTGACCCTGACTTTGGACCACCCAAATCAGATCTGTTCATCCTTGAGAGAGCCCTTGTACCAAATTTGAAGAAATTCCATGAAAGCATTATTGTGATATCGCGTTCACAAGAACATTACAGACAACCCAACAATATAATGCCTCAGCCAACAGCTGTCGACGGTGCAGAAGCATCATTCGTGAACCTCAGTGAGGTCACTGTATATCTGCTGACCTTCATAAGGTCCCTTTGAAACACTCAGTTTTATTTCCTTGCTTCCAACATTTGAGTGAACTTACTTCAACTGCCTCCTACAAAGAGACAAAGCAGACACAGCCTGTGTCATTCACATTGGCGTTTATTGAAAATTGACAGAAGCAGGACAAGAGGCAGATCAGCTGTATAACAACCTGGTTATCAGACCACCTAACAGACACAGCATTAACCCACAAGTACCTGTCAACCCACACAAGACAGCCTTAAATAGCAGCATAGCATTTACTACCTAGTTCTCACTTTTTTGTACTTTAATAACCCAGTTGTTTGGACAAATGAAAGCGTTTGGGCTTAGGTTCCTACGTATGTCCCTTACTGCCTGTATCAATGGTTGAAAGGAGACAAAGTGGTCAGTTTAACCACACAACTGTTTTTTATCTATGTAAATTTAGCCATTAAAATAGCATAACTCTCCACACATAAAGAGAGATCAACAGAAGACACAACTGTGACACACTGTTTACTACTTTCAACTTCTACATAAGTGGCTGCTGGACTTTGAGTTGATTCAAATCCCTGGGCTAAAATGAAATTAACCCTACTCTTGCTTAACAAAAAGGGTTGGTGTAAGTAGAAATTTAATGAGGTCCCCAAAATGGGTCATTTTCTGTAAGTCCCAAGTCCCATAACCATGCAGAAAAAACTATAAAACTACATACTTAAGACATGTAGAAAATGGATAATATCCAAAATTCTAACACCATGCCAGGTTTGTGGACAATGATTAACATCAGTAAAGTCCTGGACCAAGTCATATTTGAATTGGACAAACTTGGTTTGCAATAAGTCACACAGATGTTAGAATTAAATTTGACCAGATTCTGTCAAGTCACTGAAAAATTCATGCTTTGAGTGTGGTGCCTACAATCAGTTCTATTCTCACCATTAGTCACTGGTTACTGACGATCATATACAGTTGCAATCAAAATTATTCAACCCCCACTGCAAATTAGGTTTATTGGCAAAATGTACAAACTAGCAGCTGTTTGCAATAAACAAATCAAACAAGAACAGTTTAAATAGCTCAACACAACTAATATTACAAGTGGTTTCTCCAAATTCAACACAAAAAAACTTTTAATGACTATTGCAGTCTCAAAATTATTCAACCCCTTCATGACAAGCATCTTTTGTACTTAGTAGAGCACCCTTTTGCTGTTATGACCTGCTGCAAACGTGATGCATAGCCAGACACCAGCTTCTGGCAGCATTCCTGAGGAATCTTAGCCCATTCCTCATGGTTAAAGGCCTTCAGTTCACTAATATTCTTGGGTTTGCGTGCTGCAACCACCTTTTTCAAATCCCACCAGAGATTTTTAATGGGGTTCAAGTCAGGCGACTGTGATGGCCACTCTAGTATCTTCCAGCACTTCTTCTGAAACCAAGCCTTGGTGGACTTTGAGGTATGCTTGGGATCATTGTCCTGTTGGAAGGTCCAATGACGCCCAAGCTTCAGCTTCCTCACCGACGGCATGACATTTTCTCCCAGGAGTTCCTGATACTTGATTGAATCCATCTTGCCCTCACACGCTGCAGGTTTCCAGTGCCAGAGGAAGCGAAGCAGCCCCAAGCATCACTGAGCCACCGCCATGCTTCACTGTAGGCAGGGTGTTCTTTTCAGCGTATGCTTCATTCTTCCTCCTCCAGACACACCACTGATCCATAGGCCCGAAAAGTTCCAGTTTTGTTTCATCGCTCCATAGAACAGAATCCAAAACCTCTTTGGCTTATTTATATAGTTCTGAGCAAATTGGAGCCGACTTTTCTTGTGCCTTTGGGTCAGTAGTGGTGTACATCTTGGAGTTCGGGCATGGAGCCCTTTAGCGTTTAGTATGCGCCTTACTGTGGAAATTGACACCTCAGTGCCTGCTGCCACTAAGTCTTGCTGCAGGTCTTTTGCAGTCAGTCGAGGGTTTTTGACCACCTGCCTCCTCAGGACTCTGGTGGCAGCCGTTGATAGCTTCCTCTTTCTGCCACGTCCAGGTAGTGTAGCCACTGTTCCTTTAACTTTAAACTTGCAAACTATGCTTCCAATTGTATCTCTAGGAACATTCAGTGCCTTTGCTATCTTTTTGTATCCTTTTCCTTGTTTGTGCAAAGCAATGATCTCTTCTCTGAACGTTTTGGACAATTCTCTTGACTTAGCCATATTTCTAACATGAAATGAAATGTCACCGTCAACAGTCCAGGTATTTGAGGTGTTCTATCTCAAGCACACCTGATGCAACTAATGAAGCCCTTGATTGGTTGCATCAGGTGTGCTTGAGACCACACCTGATTTGCAAATGTGTGCTCTTATGTGGAATTCTGTTCAGGGGGTTGAATATTTTTGAGACTGCAGTAGACATTGAAAGTAGGATTTAGTGTTGAATTTGGATAAAATCCTTGTAATATTAGTTTTATTTAACTATTTAAACTGTTCTCCTGTAATTTGTTTATTGCAAACACCTGAAAATTTTGCCAATAAACCTAAAATGCAATGGGGGTTGAATAATTTTGATTGCAACTGTATAAACTTACTGCCACTGCAAGGAACTCCTAGCTAGTTGTAGCCAGGTTGGCTCCAATGCTACACTTTTATTTTTAAATAATAGTTTTCAAGTACAGATATAGAGCACTACACATAGTGCCGTTGTTAAATCTGTGGTTATGCCTACCACCTTTAGGTGAGCTTTAGTAATGTACTCCTACTGTTTAACTGTTTAGATAAAGGATCAAAATTGATGCAGCAGAATCTTATTTTATTCCACACATTCTTCTTCCTTGTTAAAACCTTGCCCATACATGACCCACTACTCAACGACTGACGCTGTGTAATGCTAGTAGTGACTAATGTAGCCTTGAGCTGCTAGCCTCAAGCAGAGATTAGGAGCAGGCTACAAAGGTCTGCTAAGCTCACTTCTTGTTAACTCAACAATGACTCCACAAACTGACAGTGACATTAGTGACATCACTTGAGGATATTTATCAGACTTTCACACAACAGCTTCTGGAGCCAAAAAGCTCATCTCCCAAACCTGTAAACAGACTTTGATGAGTAAAATAGGCCGAGTTCCATTTAATCATTACTTCTTATTCCCAAGGGGGAGTGTAGAGTATTCAAATGTCCATTCAAACAATTGTACCCATGTGATTTCCATGTCACTGTAATGTCATATCAACATCTACAGAAACCATGCTGAGTGCTGTGGCCAACACTGTCATCCATCGACAATGTTTTTTTATGTAGATTAAAGGCACTCAAATCATAAAACTGAAATTCAGCACATGAAGGCCCAAGCTCCAAGAGAAACAGCTGTAACAGCTCTAGCATTGAGACTGACAGCTGTTTTCTCATTTCTTTCAATTCTCTCTCCTTATTAATGTCATCACCTTCTAACAGCTTCAGTCTGTAACAGAACATGTATGAACATTTGACTCTTATATCTAACATTTTTTTACCTATACAAGCTTATCAACATGAGGGGTGCTGAGACAAACAAGATAAAACAGGTAACTTCTATCTTCAAGAAACTGAGATGAATTCATATTTTGCTGGTGTGTGGTGTGTGGTGTGTTTTTTCCATCATTTAACATGATTTCACAGAAAAACTAAAAGTCCAGTTTCACTTGTGTTTGTTGTTGAACACAATTCAAATTTTGCCTATAGAAATGTCAGTTAAACACACTGACAGTACAGAAAGATCT